TATTTTCCTAATGACTCCTTCTGCTAATTTTATCTAATTTTTCCTTCAGTCTCTTATTGAGTGTAACTGGCACTGTTCTTGCTGGGTTTATGACTGGTTCTGGATTATCCTTTAGCCTTATTTTATATTTGCCTGGCAAGCGGCCTATGCCTCTGAACACCTCTTTGTATTGTTTCACCCAGTCAGTGTGTTTAGCCGTACTTGTAGTGGCCTGTATTCTCATTTGGTTCCCTTACATTCACTTTATCTGTATCTATGATATGGACTCTCTTTATAAGACCTATCTGCTCACAGGTTTTTAATCCCAAAGTCGCTTGTCTATTCCCCTCTACAAGCACAAACAACGCATTCACTTTTCACTGCCCTTTGCTAAACAGTGTAACACTACACACTTCCTTAGTAGGTATTGGCACCTTTTTCTTTGAGAAACAGCATTTAGCGAAGTGATTCTTTCTGCCACATTTTCAGCATTCCTTCCTGTAAGCTGGGCACTGTATTAGCGCACGTTTTATTTCACATCTCCCGCAGTTCCCGCTCTTTGGCTTGGGCCTGTTCTCACTGCTGAAAGTCTCTATTTGCGTCTTTGCGCTTTCTGACGCTTGGCAAATTTTAATTGGCTTTTTCCAGTGTGAGGTCTGTCTCTTTCAATAAATGCATTCTCAAATTCTTGTCTTGTACTCCGATCACTATTTGGTCCCTTATCCTTGAGTCACACAGCGTTCCGAAGTTGCATGACTGACTTCTTAATTGTAGGTCTGTGACATACTGTTCTATCGATTCTGACTCTGTTTGAATCCAATTTCTGAACACATAACTCTCGTACGTTTCATTTTTTCTCGGTGTGCAGCACTGTTCAAACTTCTCCATACCCACGTCAAACTTGTCTTTCTCTTCTTCTGTGAGGACAAACATGTTGTACATGTCTAGTGCACCATGCCTTGCTACTGTTAGCATTAGTGCTCTTCTGACATGAATATGTTTTATATATTAAAGACATTAAATTGTCTGTTGAAAAGCTTGGGTTGTTAAACACATAAATGATACTGGCACTTTTACTTTGAAACCTGCAATGGCAGAGGGAACACAGGAAACAGGAAGTAGAAGGACTATAAAAAAAAATGTGTAAAGGTGTTGTTGCATGTGGGTAATTTCTACTGTGTAATCTATCCACGGTGTGCATCCTTCAGAAAGCAATGGCTGTAAATGTTACATATCCTTTATATGTTTGACATTTAGTGATGAGGTTTCTTTTTTGACATTTTCGATATTTGTGTGAACTTTAATAGCCTATTATGTAGTGCTCATAAGTTAGCATCATAAGCTTAGCATTATGTGCTACTTAATGGTTAGAGAAGCACACTTGTAATTGAAAGATTGCAGGTTCGAATACTCAACCAGCAAGGCACCACTGAGGTACCCTGAGCAAGATACCGCACCCAAGCACTGCTCCCGAGATGCACTTTCCTTGATGTTTATGTGGCACATGTTTAGCTTGGGCCCAAATTGTCCACGTGAATTTCTGCTGGGGGGTGGGGGACTACCTGTTTTTTTTAAATAAGTGCATGGGAGCATCAACCCCATTAGAAATTAATATGCATGTAATCACAGAAGACAGTGTTAGCCATGGTTTCAATAACTGTGAAATCTTGTTGTTACTAGAAGATTGCATGGTATTAAACCATGACTATGATCCCTGGAGAGAACTTTGTCTAACAATGAGCTCTCGTGGAGACAATAAAAAACAGAAGAAGCAGAGGTGGCTTCATTCATACACCAGCAACTTCAAACTTCAGACCAGAAATGTTGGATAGCTGGGATAATTACTGACCGAGAAACTGTCTGTGAGTAAGATGCACCTGATTGGTGGGAATGAAGCATATTTACATACAATGAATTTCCTAAGACTATGCCCGCGATCAGGGTCTATGGCGTTACATTCCTATTTTTATTCAAGAGCACATAGATCAGTTTAACGAGCAGATCAATGTCTGCACGTGTGACTTGTTTAGCATGAGCACAGAACAGTATCTGCTGGTAAAATAGTGCAAAATAGGCTCCACATTCACATTAAGCATTCCTGGATAAACGTTTCCAAAAAGGAGCCACCAACCTTATTGGCTGCTACACAGAAGCTCTCTGCCTTGTGGGGCCTCCTGCAGTCTTGTTGGTGTTCTCCATGTCTGCTGTCCCGTCGGCACCCTCTTCGCCCCCTGATGTTCTGTCTGTGTCTTCCTCATCTGTCTGGCCTAACCCTTTTTTTCTGAGGCACCTAAAACTGCAGCCTCCTTGCCTGTGCCCTACTTCTTCTTCTCAACATATGGATTGTCACTCCTCCCTGGGTTTTCGTCATGCATGAAGACAATTAAAATAAGTGACTATTTTTCATAATATAAATGTAATAGATTATTTATCAATGCCATTGAAACATTTTACATCTAGTCTTAAAATAAATTATTAATGCTTTTACATTCACATGGGAAAAAAGATATTTCCTAGCCCCTATAAGCTAACATTATTGTTAAAGTTAGGATAGTTATCTAGGCAGTTTTCTCGGTCGCTTATCCAACAGTGCCTCATGAATGAGATGATAACATCAAGTGACCTTCAAAAGGAATAAGAAACATCAAGTGCAGGTGCAGGTGAAGTGCACTGCAAGGATAGTTCATATTAGGCTCCTAGAAGCAGGACTGAAGTCCCCTAAAGCAAGGAAACTGGCTTTTGGCACATGGAACATAACCTTTGTGGTGGGAATGGAGCCTCAGCTGGAGCTCATATATAGTCGGGCTCACCTCAGTGCATGGCTTGGACTCTGGAACCAAACTCCTGGAGAAGGGCTGGACCATTCTGGAATTGCCCATGGTGAGAGACACCAGGCAGGGGTGGGGCTACTTATAGCCCCCTGGTTCGGTGCCAGTGCATTGGAGTTCACCCCGGGTGGATGAGAAGATCGCCTCCGTTTGACTTCATGTTGGGGGACGGACTCCGACTGTTGTCTGTGCGTACATGCCAAGCACCTGTTCAGAGTATCCGGCCTTCTCAGAGGCCTTGGAGGGGGTGCTGGAAGCCACCCCTTCTGGGAACTACTTTATTCTGCTGAGAGACCTTAATGCTCATGTGGGTAATGAGAGTGAAACCTGGAAGGGTGTGATTGGGAGGGATGGCCTGCCTGATCGTAATCTGAGCAGTAATCAGTTATTGGACTTCTGTGCTACTCGAAGTTTATTCATAGCAAAAACCATGTTTGAACATAAAGCTGTTCATAAGTGCACCTGGCACCAGAACACCCTAGGCTGCAGTTTGATGAACGATTTTGTATTCGTATTGTCAGATCTGTGTCTGTATGTTTTGGACACTTAGGTGAAGAGAGGAGCTGAGCTGTCAACTGATCACCACCTGGTGGTGAGTTGGATATGCAGAAGGACTTTTGGTCGGCGTCAAAAAGGTTGTGGCAAACTGTCAGGTGACTCAGGAGGGGGTAGCAGGGCTTCACTAATGCTATTTACAGCAGGGATGGAAAACTGTTTACCTCAACTGGAGATATAGTCAGGCAGTGGAAGGAATATATCGAGGATCTCTTAAATCCCACTGATACGCCTTCCTCGGAGGAAGTAGAGCTGGAAGACTCAGACTTGGCCATCTCTGGGGCTGAGGTCACTGACGTAGTCAAACAACTCTTCAGCAGTAGGGCTCTGGGGGTGGATGAGATTGGTCCTGAGTTCTTGAAAGCTCTTGATGACACGCCTCTTCAAAATTGCGTGGATGTCGGGGACATCAGGGGCAGACCCAGGATGTGCTGGAGAGATTATATCTCTTGGATGGCCTGGGAACGCCTTGGTATTCCCCTGGTGGAGCTGGAGGAGTTGGTTGGTGAGAGGGAGGTCTGGGCATCCCTGCTTAGACTGCGCCCCCCGCGACCCGACACTGGATAAGCGGCAGAATAAGGATGGATGGATGAATAAATGTTTTACGACTTAGAAAATTGAAGTCCATCAGGGGAATTCTGAATGTACAACAAAGATATTTGCTATACTAATTCCTTTAAACCAGGTAGTATCTACACAGTTCACACCTGATTGACAGGTAAAGGAAGGCTGGAAAATCAGCAGTGCTCGTACCTCGAGGACCATGATTTGAATAACCCTGCTCTAGAAATTGTGAATGTTGATTTGCTGCTCAGTGTTTCTGTGTGTGTTGACACAATGGACAGTTGTGTGTTTGTGATCCACCAAACACCATATAATGCGATTACAGTTGCAAAATGCTCCATGCTTTTTTATCGTATGCAGCTTTATACTGTAGGTATTTTTAGGATTACTAAAGCAAGATTAGTCATCCAGAGTTGCATGTCTCATTAATTCATTCAGTCATTCCTGACTATATCCAAATATATCTAGACGTCACAGTTACCATAACAATAAATACTATATAATAGACTTGAAATACCCTACATGCAATATACCTGTAGATAGTCCTTCATTTATTTATTTAATGTCAGTGTGAACCACTAAACTATTGCTTAATGTGTCTACTAGGTTTGAGTGAGTTACAACGTTTATTTCTTGGATCCTTTTATGAACTGTATGTCATGTAGAGTTCCTAATGTACTTCGGTTCTGTTTAAAGTAAATTTTAATTGATTGAAATTAGACTTCAGATTTTTAAATCACTTGTTGCCGATTTTTGTTGTAATGTTTATACATTAATATATACTAATATTACACATTAAGTATTTATTTGCATTATTAACGTTAATGTAATAAAGCAATACAGCATATTGGATGTCAGTTTTTTTTCATTGACTTTATTAAAACAAACATCAAGAAACTCAATCTTAAGAAATGCAGTTGGGAAAGACAAGTACCAGAACAATCGTAGTGGTCCTGAAACAGATGGATACAGTGGCCTAGGCACAGGATTCAATAATTCTGCTGAGGGTTCTCTGGTTTCCCACAGTCAACCTACAGTACATCATTGTGTTGTCCTCCCAATGAAACTCGGAAAATAACGTTGCAAGATCATCAGTTTCTTGAAATCAGTTTGCCCCATATTATAAAGAAGGGTAGACAGCTCTTGGAATTCATAACACGTCTCTGCAGTAGTGATGACGGCTGATAAAACACCCTCAACATCTTGCCTCCCTAACATATCCCAGATAACTTTGGCAATGACAACAATGGTGTGTCCTCCCTTCATTGCTTCACGGATACATTTTAACAGAGGTTCACGTTTATTTTGTTCTATCATCTGTAGGAGCAAATTCTGTAATATAAAGTTCATGGGAATGCCAAACTCAGTCACGCTTCCATTAATTAAATTGAGGTAACCAGTGTGCATGCCTAGCAAATGTGAATTATCCCCAAAGATGGGGGAGCCCGAGGACCCATGACGCATAGTTGTGTGATAATGCAATAATGTACCCTGTACATATTTGGGATCTTTAACAAGGTAATTTTTTTCAATGATGGAACTTTCATCAATCCTTTTTCCCCCACCACCAGGGTGACCACAAATGGAGATCCCTCCCATCTCTGAGGGAGGTCCATATGTACTTAGAAGAGTAGGAGGTAGTATCTGAGGCTCTTGGTCCTGGAGATCCAGTTCCAGTAAAGCAAAATCCATTTCCCATTGCCAATTTTCCTCACTACACACATAAGCAACAACCTCTTGTTTTACGTTTAAAGGGAGGAAGTATGTTCCACCCTTCATGTCTTCAATGGTAAACATGACAGAAACCACCCGCTTTAAAATTCCTTCGTTACTAATACTCTTAATGACATGTACATTTGTTAGGATATAACGATCAAACAGCAAGAAGCCTGTACCTTCTGGGAGGCCGTTAACACAAATGCAACAAACTGAAGCACCAAGCAGAAACCGACATTCTTCAGTGACGGAGACTGTATATTTGCTTTCGCGTTTCATTTCAATCCTCTCTTTGAACAAATACTCTAATACTGAGTATGTGGAAACGTTATATTCAGTCACCCTGCGTATTTTTCCATGAGATTCAAAATAAACGACGCCAGCAGAGTGCGATGCTCTGTTTATGAACCGGCAAATTTCCTCAAAGATTATGCAGCCCAAAGGTCTATTAAAGGAACATGATATATACCTCAATTCTCGATTCATCAACTGGAGATCATTGGGAAATATAACGAGACACTTTCTTTCTTCAAAAATGGAACTTGGATCAACACCCCCCCCATCTGGATGACAAATACTGTAGATTCCTCCCATCTTGGAGGGAGGTCCATATTTACTTAAAATAGCAGAAGGAAGTATCTTAGCACATTGTTTGCGCATATCCAGTGGCAGTAAAGCAAAATCCTTCTCGTATTTCCAATTACCCATAAGACAGACATAAGCAACAAGCTTCATGTCTTCAAAGGTAAATATGACAGAAACCTCCTGCTGTAAAATTCCTTCGATAGTAAAATCCTTAATGGAATGTACATTTCTTAGCCTATAACAATCATGCAGCAAGAAGTCTGTATATTTCGAAAGACCCTGAGGATTAACGTCATATGATTTCATCCTCTTCTCAATGAAGTCCATTACTTTGATCTTCTTTTTACTTTTCTCCATCAGCTGGAAATTACAATGGAAATGATGGCAATCAACTATATGGTTACACAGAAATGAATGAGCGGTCCCCATAAAGATGGGGTAAAAATGCACACACACGACTGTGTGTGTCCATTTTTACATAATGTGCGAATTTGCTATACAGTATATAGGTCAGGTCAGGTCAGGTTGGGGAGTATGCGTTGATGCTGTGCGTTGCAACACCCACCACACGGCGAAACTTCTCGGGATCCTGGCTGGTGACCCCCCAGGCAGACACACGGTCCAGTCCCACCCTCCGGAAATGGCCATCCATCTGCTGCAGCCTGGTGTTACATGGGAGTCCCTTTGCCCTTGTCCAGCCACTTGGGTCCACAGCATACTTTTACATAAAATGATATTCATTATAATTCTTTATAAATACTTATTCTACGCCATTTCCCCTTGATAAACAATCTTATAAATGTGCATTGGTGCTCGTACCTGAGATCTTTCTTCTTTCTTCTTTTCTTTTATTTTCTTCATCAGACGGCCTTGATGTTGAGACTGTAAATTACAATGGAAATTATGACAAACAACTATAACTCAGCTATAACTACCAAACTTAAGGATTTTTACATAATATGCAAATTTGCTGTATATAGCTTGCATAAAATAATTCATAGATTTATGATTCTTTTAAAATACTTATTTTAAGATATTTATCTGCTATTAATTTTACCTTATATATGTCTTTTATTTATTCATATAATATTATAATTTAGCAAGTAGCAAGTTTTAATATACATTCCACAGACCATGATTTGCATTAACCAGATTATTTTTAGCAGCATGTTCTTAATTCATCAACATACACTATATGGACAAAGTACTGGGACACCTGGCCATCACACCTACAGGAACTTTTATGACATTCTATTAGAAACCCCTAGGCATCAATATGGAGTTTGTCCCCTCTATGTTGCTATAACAGCTGCCACTCTTCTGGGAAGGCTTTCCATTAGATTTCCCAAACTGTTCTCACAAAGTTGGAAGAATAGAATTGACTAAAATGCTGTGGTACGCTGAAGCATTAAGAGTTCCCTTCACTGGAACTAAGGACCCTAGCCCAATCCCTAAAAAACAACCCCATACCATTGTCCCTCCTTCAACAAACTATAAAGTTGGCACAATGCAGTCAGGCAGGTAACGTTCTCCTGGAATCTGCCAAACCCAGACTCATTCATCAGTCTGCTAGACAGAGAAGTGTAAATTGTCATTCAACAGAACATGTTTACACTGCTCCAGCGTCCAGTGGCAGTGTGCTTTGTACCACTCCATCTGACACTTGGCATTGCGCTTGGTGATGTGAGCCTTGCATGCAGCTGCTCGGCCATGGAAGCCCATTCCATGAAGCTCCCAGGCACAGTTTCTGTGTTGGGGTTAATGCCAGAGGAAGTTTGGAACTCTCTAGTTGAGTAACTAGAGCGCTGGCAACTTTCATGCACTATGCAGCTCAGCACTCAGCGACCCCACTCTGTTACTTCACATGGTCAGTCACTTTGTGGCTCAGTTACTGTTGCTCCAAAATGCTTCAACTTTGCAACAATACCATACTATGAAATATATAACAGGGAAGAAACTTCACAAACTGATTTATTGCAAAGGTGGTATCCTATGACGGTATCATGCTTGAATTCACTGAGCTCTTCAGAGTGACCCATTCTTTCACAATTGTTTGTAAACCTGACAGCTTGGCAATGTGCTTGACTTTATACACCTGTGGCAATGGGTCTGAATAATACATCTGAATTTGATGAATAAGAGGTTTGTCCCAATACTATTGTCCATATAGTGTATATTTTCTCAGCAGGAAAGGCAAACCAAAGGGTGCTTCTTTAGCGTGAGCTTTACCGGCTTTCGTGCTTAAATGAGTTCCGATGATGAATGCATTTTATTGTGTTACGTTTTCAATCACTTTATTCCTTAATAAAGGGATACACTGAGAATAAAGCCAAAGCAGAGGTTGAAGTCACATTGTTATTATGTGGGCTGATCTGGTAAAGCACATGCTAAAGTGGCACCAACCAAAACATATTTACAGATGTTAATTAAAGGCTTACCTCCCTGAGGAAATTCTGATTGAAGGCCATTGTGTTATCTGTGACAAAAAAAGTCTAAATTATATTAAGAAAAGGAAAATTACAATGCAGATAGAACAATATTTAAAAGCATTCAGGCATATTTCACAATGGCATATTTAGTGGGATGGTGATACAAGTATAACTTAAAATGTCAATACGGGGAGTCCTCGGGTTATGACACAGTTCCGTTCCTACAACAGTGATGTAACCTGAATTTTGGTGTAAGTCAAAACACACCCTTCTCCTGATCTCTTTACAATGTGTAATTTCACTTTCATCATGATGGCTTTCCTCTTCACAAAAGGAACACTTGTGCTTTTAACAGTCCAAAATGGCGTAGGTAAGTGTACTGGGGGACGCCAACTCCCTCACTCATACACCGCATTACTGTGTATTTTTCCACCACACGCAACCAGCGAACCTAGTTCGCCCACGTAGTCTGTAAGTATGATGCTAACGGCATAAGCCAAAACACTCATATCTCAATTTTTTAAAGTTTTTATGTGAGGTAACGTCATAAATTCGAAACGTCGTATGTTGAGACGTCGTAACCCAAGGACCCCTTGTAAATAAAATTTTCCTGAATAACAAGACAAACATTAAATTGCAGATGAAAACATCTCATGAATTCAGTGAATAGCAGATTTGCTTTAGACAAACTTAGACATAGCACTCTTTATGGTAGGTGGACCAAAATTAACCGACAAACTTTGATTTCTCCTCTGATGAAATGAGGCCTAAAAGTCTGTTAGAGGAGGTGAAATTATTATCTTCTAGCATATTGCCTAACAATTAGAAAAAAAGATTATAGTCTTTTATAGATAGGAAGTTTTTCGGTTAAGACAGATAATGAAAAGCAAATAGTTAGCAAAAGTGTCTGACTATAGGCTAGAAACCTGAATACTGAATCTAGATCATTCTATAGAATTCCTGTGATTACCAAGAATATGGCACAGAATATCCATTAAACAAACAAAATTAGTACAAGCACTCTGGCATCCTTATAAAAATACTTAAATACAAGCACATTTGATTTAATCTATTTTTAAATAATATATCACCGTCTCAGGCGTTGAAAGACTTGGACTGGTTTTCGACGTGATGTAGACAGTCCAGAAAATGGCAGATGAGCTGATCGAGAAGCTTCTACAGTACTTGTTTTTCGTCACAGGAAATACGTAAAGTCACATGCTCAATATATAAGACGTACTTTCCCCAGAGGGTATATAACTTCTATTTCTTTCAAAATCAATTTGGCTTAAAAGTAGCAGTAAAGAAAATGTGGTATTATAGAGAAAGAGAGCAGGAGAGAGAAACTAAGACAGAGAAATGTCATTTAGTAAATAGAATAAGAAAAATCAGGAAATTGCTGCACCTAAGAATACAGCTGGGTTTTGTCATACAACAGTCGATGTGGAGCCTATGCGACTGGCGTGAAGATGCAGACCGTTATGCCGATGCTGGATCATGATTCTCCAGTGGTGGGTATGTAGATCATCCATGACAAAGAAAAGTCTCCAACGAGTGGGGAGCCGCTGTCTATGCTGTAGGTGTCAGAAAGTGCGTTTGCTGCTTTCCGGAGTGCCTGTCTGGACCACATCAAAAGGGCGGTGTATGTCGGTGATGGTGCTGGCTATGGGGGGGCCTGATCGAGCGAGAGCATTCAAGGCTGTGTGTGTTGCTCTGGTACTGTTGCAAGGTCAGCAATGTGCCTGGGGGTCCAGAGCCTTAAAACTTTTCGGATAAAGAATTCCGCTACTGTGTCAGGTTGACGGTGTCAGTTGATAACCTGTGGATTTTCAGTGGACTTATGAATATTATATTGCATAGTTCTGATGGAGACCTGGAATGTACAATGAGAGGAGCAGGGTGTATGAATGAGAGGGAGTGACCTGAGGATACTGAAGAATTTATTGGACCTTAGTGCCGCTTTCGACACTGGATCACAATATTCTTCTCGCTCGCCTAGAACAGTGGGTTGGCATCAAGGGGACAGCACTTCACTGGTTCAGCTCTTATCTTAAACAGAGGTCTTTTTCTGTGTCCATTGACCAGTTTTCCTCATCCACTGCTCCTGTCTCCTATGGGGTCCCCCAGGGGTCCATCTTGGGCCCAGTGCTTTCCTGCCTATACATGCTCCCCTTTGGTGACATCATTAGAAAATATAATATCTCTTTTCATTTTGTACCTTCCACTAAAATCCATTGACTCTGTACAACCTCTACTGGACTGTCTTGAAGACATTAAAGTTTGGATGTTAAACAACTATCTCCAGTTAAACAGTGATAAAACTGAAGTCATTATCTTTGGTTCTCCTAAATCCTTTAACACTGTTGCTGATAAATTAGGTCACCTTACCCCATATGTTAAATCCCATGCCAGAAACTTAGGGGTCATTTTTGACTCAGGGCTCTGTCTTGACAGACAGATAAGCTCTGTTGTCAAAAACAGTTTTTATCAGTTACGAATCATCTCCCACATCAAATCATTCTTATCTTATAATAACCTGGAAAAAGTAATCCATGCCTTCATTACATCTCGGCTAGATTACTGTAATTCCCTCTACCTTGGCCTTCATTAATGCGTCTGCAGTTGGTCCAAAATGCAGCAGCGAGACTGTTGACGTAACGTAATGCCAATTAGCCTCAGCATGTTTTTGGAGGAAACCCCATGACGACACGGGAAGAACATGCAAACTCCACACACATGTAACCCAGGCGGAGACTTGAACCCAGGTCCCAGAGGTGTGAGGCAACAGTGCTAACCACTGCACCACCATGTCGCCCTGCACAAACTTATGCCCCAGCAAATAATATTTAAACGAGTCCAATGCCCACTTTATGGCTAGGCATTCCTTTTCCACAGTGGAATAGTTCTGCTCCCTTGGCAGAAGCTTAAGGCTGATGTAAGCCACTGGCTGGAGCTGTCCATGGTTCCCCTGCAAAAGGACTGCCCCTAAGCTCCTCTCAGAGGCATCAGTCTGAACAGTAAAAGGGCTTTCAAAGTCCGGACTGAGGAGCACAGGCTCCTGACACAGGGAGTCCTTTAAATATTTAAAAGCAACCTCACACTCCTCAGTCCATTCAACCTTGTTCGGGTGGTGTTTACGGGTCAGTTCAGTCAGTACAGCCGCCTTCTCCAAAAAATTCTGTATGAAGCTTCTGTACCAACCTACCAGCCCTAAGAAAGAACTCATCTGTTTTTTGGTGGTAGGGCGCTCTGCAGCCATGATGGCTTCCAACTTCCCCACCTGAGGGCGGATTACACTATGACCCAGGACAAAGCCAAGGAATGAGGTCTCCTCCTTGGCCAAGGCACACTTGTCTGGGTGAATGGTGAAGCCTGCCTCCTTCACCAAGGAGAGGACTTGCTGCAGATGTTCGAAATGCTGCTCCCAGGTGGCACTGTAGATGACAATGTCATCAAGGTAGGCGACAGCAAAACCCTCTGTCCCCCTGAGGACTCTGTCCATCAGCCTCTGGAAAGTCGCTGGCGCCCCATGTAGGCCAAAGGGTAGCACGGTGAACTGAAAGTGCCCAAATTTAGGAAGCTACTCAGGAAGTTAATGATAAGAAGGCCTATGATGTCATCTACTTAGATTTCCAAAAGGCTTTTGATGTTGTCCCCCACAAGAGGCTCTTACTTAAACTCAAATCGACAGGTATTTTAGGAACTAGCGACCTGGATTGATAACTGGTTAACAGATAGGAAGCAGCGAGTAGTTATCATTCTATTTTTGAGCTCTGGAGCTTATAGACATAGTGGTTGGCTAGACATAGGTGATTGAAGCATTCTGAAATTTCAGGTGGTTTGATTAGTAAAGTTCTAGAACTTTGGAGTGACACTATTTTTTCAAAGTCAGTGGCTTACACAATGAATATTGATGAGATAGGTATCAACACACCTGTAATGATTTTGTGTACTGTCAATGTAATGTCATTGTTACTGCTCCCACACTCATCACTTTGGAATGTCAGTTTGAAATGTAAGAAGAGACAATTATAGCCTTCTACAGTTTATAACATGCAAAGGATTCAATGTTGATCATGACATCATATTACATATTATATATGTGAAGTTATTGCATCACTTTTGGGATTTATTTTATTATACTTTAAGAGGCAACTCAGATTGTTTGTGCCTCCTTCAAGCAGTCTTTTTGAAAGAAATTCACAGATTTGACTGTTAGAAAATCAGCTCCCTTATCTGTGCTTGGTTCCCTTGTTCGTTCTGAATGCAGTTTGTAGATGGTCCTTGACAAAAGACTATACTTCTATTGCTGGTTTGCCAATTCCATGGAAAATGCTGAGTAGTGACAACAAAAAATTAACAAATCAGCCAGTGTACCATATTATAGCAGGATCTGTGTATGCCCATGAAACAGAAAATGTCAGTTTAGTGATTTTAGGTGGTGTCGTTTGTAAAATATAGGGGAGGTAAAACTGAATATCCAGCAAATGTACAATATAAAACCAACTTTACCACACTCATTTATGTGAATTATTTTATTTTAACTGTGTGTGGTTTATCATCTGTTGTGTAACCTCATCGCATTCCCTTGTCATGTTTGTCGAAGTGTTGTTGCTGCTGCTGCATAAAACAGCATCTTTTCTCCGCCGCTGCGATGCTTCGATCTGCCAAGTGCCACAATATTCTTATTTTACTGCTGAGCTGGAGGCGAGTCCGAAGTTGCCTACTTAATTGCCAGCTTCTTAACCATGCCACCTTCAATTAAGGGATGCTGTTTCGACAGAATACTGTAGGGGTCACTGTGAGTGCTAAATCGAAAGCTCCTTGTTTTTAGTATTTCACGAAAATGGCAATAATTCAAATGTTTTTGGTCACACTTCAAGACTTCAAGACTTTTTATTGTCATTGTACAGTTGCCTGGACAACGAAATTAGCTAGCAAGACCACAAAGATGCAAGAAAGTGTCAGTACAAGATATAAGAATAATAAACACAGTATACACAATGTATAGGTACAAGAGACATTGGGGGGTATATGCAAGGTTATTGCATACACGGCCATTGGCTCTGAAATTAAGCTGTTCTTTTAAATGAAATTCATTAAATGTGGAATCAGACTTGTCATACCGGCAGCTGCGAGCAATCAGAGACACGCCCCCTTAGCTACTTAAACCTCGCACGGCGATCGCTCTGTGCGAGGTATTGTTTGTGATGCAATCTCTGAGCAACTTCTTCCTGTGTCTTTGTTTAAGCTCCGATCCGCCTGACTTTCCCTGCTCCCTCTTCCTGCGCCTTCTGAACCTTCCCTCTCCCGTCCATACCAGCCCTGATCTTCCCTCATGTCTGCTCCCCGTGTTTCCCATCTACGTCATCGGACGGACCTCCTGGCTTCTCGACTACCTGCACCCAGTTCGACTACGACTTCGGTTTCCCCCTCTGGCTTTGGACACTTGGATTGGACGGATTTTGGCTCTGACCCTGCTTGTTACTTGGACTCTGTTTTGGTTATCCCCAATAAAGGCCTTTTGGACCTTTCCCAAGTGTTCTATTATTACATGTATGGTGTGTTTGATTTCTCACATATTATTATTATTATAATAAAATATTTCAAATATTTCTAGGGCTGACTTCTAATAGTCGAGGATTCGACGATTCGATTCGTAGACGTCTGATTCGACTATGAACCTCATAGTCGAATAGTAGGAAAGTGTTATGTAACCAATGAGAAGCAGCTAGAGGTCGACCGATATATCGGCCGGCCGATATATCGGGCCGATATTTAGCATTTTTTAATGTATCGGCATCGGCTGATATCCGAGTGCACTACGCCGATTTTCAGACAGGCACGTCTGCGGGCAGCCCAGTGTTATTGTTGCTGTGGAACACGTGACCCATGCTGCCTTGTGCAGGACCACAGCCAGAAGTTTTGGAAGAGTCCTGGGATAAAACGATAAGGCTTAAATTCTGATCTTTCAATGACCTGTTTATTTAAGTAGTTTGCTATGAAATGTTGCTTTAAAAGAAAACGCGAATTACGCTATTGGGAACTGGGGTAATGATAATGAGCCTTCAACCAACTGTAGCTTACAGGTAACATTAAGGATCATTGATTCTAATAGAGTTCGTTTTGTGCGCTTA